TAGCCCTGCCGAAACCACTTCCCGGGCCTATCAGATGAGTCCATCTGCCTAGAAGAAGACCCGTTATAGTTGCCTTCATATGTAGCCCTTTAGTCGCTTCCCCCTTAGGCCTCACTACGAAGCTGCTCAATAGTGCGGGCGTGATAAAAATAAACATTTACTAAGGAATGACCTGCATAGGCCATAGACTGAGTCTCAATCCGCAACTGATGTCTCAACCCACAAACAAAACACCAAACTCTCTCATCTTCAATAGGTAAAATCATGGTAGCATGATGGGAGAGCTCTTGAAATCTCGCCTCATATTCAGACATGGTCATAGACACCTGCTCAACCTGAAGAATTAATCCATGAGATGATCTCTGACACTGCGAGGGATGAACCAGGCCAAGAACGCCTCATAAAACTTTGTCCAAGTGACTGGAAAAGACCCAATTTGTCTGGTCTCAATAAAGGTACATCACTACGGTCTGGCTGGACCATCTAGCTATTAAGTAGGGAAGTTGGCTCCTCTCGACTCCACCAGACCGAAAGTACACAACCGTTTATGACAGGTGGTAAGAAACTCACGAGCATCCTCACTCATAGTCCTAGAACACCTTGGAGGTGAAAGCCTAAAAATCACTTTGAGCATCTTCTGATCCTCTAGAGGCATAGCTCCTAGCACAATAACGGGCTGGGTACCCCATGAGGTACCTAGTCCAGAGGTGCCTCTAATGTAGATTGATCCTTCTAACTTGATGTTGGTGTAGGTGCTAGTGGTGGTGTTGGTGCTTGTGCTGGTGTTGGTAGTGGGGTCGAGGCCTTATGTATGCCACCCAGTATATATAGTCACAAGCTGAGTAATGGCTGCTTGAAGGTCTGGAGCCATAGCCGGTCCGGGTGGTGGCTAAGTTGGTTCTGGCCCTACTAACTGCTCTAGAACATGGGCTGTTAGAGGATCCATTTCTAGCTCTTGACCCCTCCATCTATTTGAGGTAGTATTGCACCCCTATTAGGCATGGTGGTCGACCTTTATCCCAAGCCGCCGCACGACGCGTGTGAGCTATCTTGCGAAAAGAGTGAAACATGTGATAGTTAAAGAAATCAATAACACACACTGCACGAAAGCAAAATAAAAGAGAAGAATACATAAAGACACTATGTAGCCTCCCAAAGATAGGATAAGGATGTCTCCGCACCGATCTGTAGGACTCTACTAGGTATTTTCTCTGTACAAGTGAGACTGATGAACCTGAGGCTATGATACCAACTTGTCATGACCTGAATTCCCGAGTCATGATTGCACCTACTATAATCCACAAGTAGGTAAGTTAGCCCGTACCCAAAACGACAAGTAATGAGTACAAGGGTAGAACTAATAAAGAATAATACTAACAATAAGAAAGGACAAATATGGAAGCCAACCAAAAACTATATATAAGTCCCAAAACCCTCCCAGAACCCGGAAGCCATGAGTATAGAGCGGTCTAAGATGAACAAATACAAGTCCCAAAAGTGGACCACAATAAGCCATCTCAAAGGAAAAAGACTACCTAAAAGTGAAAAAGCGCATGTCGATTCTGAAGAGGATTCTAATATCAAGACTAAGTTGTCGTGGAATGACATCCACCCACAGGCATCCATAGGAGGCTCCAAGCCTAGAACAACCCAGTCTAATGTCACCATTAAGACATACCCCTGCAGTAACCCCTCAGAGTCGTATAGATGGGAAGAGAAAGTAAAAGATCTACAAGTTGCATAAAATCCTAAACTAAGGTCCATACTATAAAACTCAAGTCTGTTATTCTAGTCTACAAGGATCTAATCCGTCCGAAACAACGTCGGAGACATGCCAAAGCTACAAGGCTTGCGTGTCTAAGACAACACTATTCTATTCTAAAATAAGGTTGAACATGCTTTAGAAAACAAGAAATAGCACAAGTAAATCACAGAGCATGCAACAAAACATATAAAACCCTAACTTACAAGGTACTACTCTCGAAACAGTGTTGATAAATCCTAAAACATGTTTTCTAAGAGGAAAAGTAGGAATAACTAGGTATCAGCCCCCAATTCACACTAATCATCATGAATTCACACATCCAACTATCAGCACATCAACTGATATGCTAAGTCACCAAAACCTTTGACGGGGTGGCTGAAATAATTCGAACCCTGTCCATGGAAACAAAATATGGTACCCCATCAGATTCAACATTTCAGACTCAATGGAACCATTAAAACTTCCATCCGAGGTCGTTTTGATGAAAAGTGAGTCACACACTCAAGTTCCATTTTAAGCAAAAATCCATAAGGGGGCTCAGAATCAGCCTAGAAGCCTCGGGATCCAAACGAACGGTCGTTCTACACCAAATTCAACATTCTGGGGTTAACCATGATGAAGGTATTCTAATTCGAGCTTGTTTACTAAGAATGTCGACTAAAGTCAAACTTAAGCGTTAACGTGGAAGTTAAAATGCCTAATCGCACATACTCACACTGAAAGCTTTGGGAGTCATGTCGACTATGCTACTAGCCTAAAATGACCCTTTTGGAGCTGATGGGGTCATAAGAATTGGATTTTGAGGTTATCTTCTTGAAATTTTTATAAAAATAACCACTCAAAATTCAAAAGCTCCAAAACGTTGAAACTTGCATAAAAACTAAACAATGACCAGGTGATTGAATTGTCAGCCCCAACAAATCATAACTGAATTGGGTCGCTATAGGAAAGATATAACCGATGAACATGAGGCATAAACATAGAAATGACCTGGATGTCATTATTCAGCTATTCGGTTTTGAAAAATTATTCTTTTTTTTTCTATTCTTATACCCATTACGTGTTGTTTCAGGTTACAAATTGGCTTACCTACTTGTAGGTTATAGTAGGTGTCATCATGAATCAAAAAAATTGATCGTGACAAATAAACTTTGCAAATATGGAGCAATTAACCACGACATTGATACCAATGAAAGATAATCAGAGAAAAATTGATGGGTTGTGTACCTTATATTTGCAATGGAAGTTGTTGATTTTGTGACCAAAAACAAGTTTCTAAATCCCTCTTTGAATCACTAGAAATTAAAATTTTGATTCACAAACTGAATGTCTATTTGGTGTTGATGTTAATATGAAAGAAAGAAATGTGTTTTATGTTTCAACCCTTTTGATCCATGTATCTCTTGTGGAAGAAGAACTAAAATATAAAGGGGAGTTCATCAGTTACTAAACTATTTTCCCAAACATTTCAAATTCTTAGATAACCACCATGTTATCTTCTTCTAAGAAACAAAACGGGTGGATTGATACATATGGGAGATCTATGACCCCTGAAATCTAACATATTTGCATGTTAGACAACAAATTAATTTATTAAGCCTCCAAAATTATGTTTTGAATAACTTATTGGACAAAGTAGGTGTAGTTAGGAAGGCATGCACTTCTGAATTTGTCTCTCCGACAACTTTTTAAGGGAATATTAGTGCATCTTCCGCTTCAACTTCTCGGTTCAAGATCGTAATTTTAATGCTCGGATGAAGGAATGTATTATATACCATTTACAAGAGATAAAGGATGAGATGAACCATGACATGTGATAAAATATGAGACTAGAAATAAAAGGAAAAAATAAAATGAGAAATGTTTTAGAAATGAGACCTCTTTCAGATTTTTAAATTCTATAAATTAATATAATTATTTAGGATAAAAATTTTACTATAAGGAGTCGTTTAATTGGGAACAAGTTATTCTAGGTTTAGTTATCACGGGGTTAACTATCTTGGGATAACTTATCACATCACTATGATATAAATGATGGGATAAGTTATCCCAAACATGAAAATCAAACAAGATACAATAATTTTATCCCATCGCCAATTAGTTTTAATCCCTCACACCAAACAACCCCTAAAGGTGTAATTGAGTTAGTAGTATTAAAAACACATTGCCAATTAACTAGTAAACGCATATCAAACTTGAATGATATATTACCAACAAATTAACAAATATTCGTAAATTTCCTAACAATTATTGACGAAAGTTTTCCGTGGCTAAAATTACTAGTGTAATTTAGCAAAAATAAATAATTATGCTTACTAACATATTTAAAATTCGTAGCTAAATTACCAACATAAATTTTCTATTGCTAAAATTGTCAACCAATTACAAATGTTTCTTGAAAAATTACTATTGGCCCTGCCAACCACATTAGTATCCATTAGTACAATTGCTACCAGAATACGAACACATTCAGTCTTTGTTACTGTAATTAACAACATATTTACAAACAAAATTGAGTAATAAAGTACCAAATTTAGTAGTCGGTTCGTAAAGATATTAATGATATACCAATCAAAAATTGGTTAGTGAATTTACCAACGAAAGTTTCAGGTCAAATTTTAAAATTCTCCAACAGCATCTTTGGGTGTTTACCAACTGATTTTTAGTTGATAATTTTACCAACAAATTAAAATTGATTGGCAAAATTTACCATCAAGCCTTTTAGCAAAAAAATAATAATATCAGTTGGTAACTAAATTTGCCAACTGATTTGATCAATTTACCAACAAAAGTTTCTGTTGGTAATTGGGGTTTCTTTTGTAGCATTTTAACTAACTTTCTTAAGCGTGTTCCACACCTCAAATAATTATTTATTTTGAAATGGAGAGAGTTTTTACCGGGTAATGCTAAATGGCCAGAAAATTTGGTCAGAAAATTAAAAAGTCTATAATATCTTTTTTATTTTAAAATAAACTAATCTTTTTTTCATTTTTTAGTTAAAAGGTATTAAAGTTAAAAGGGTAAAAATGTTCAAAAAGGTAAAATAAGATAGATAAAATACCATTTTGACCAAATTTTCTGACCAAAAGGATTTTTCCTTGCCACAAACGGGTTTTAAATACACATGGAAAATTCTTCTTCTTTTTTTTGTTGAAAACTATGTGCTACTTAATCATGATAATGTGAAACAATTACACCTTGATATGGGATGTTAATGTGTGTATCATGCTTAGGGTCCTCTTTTTGGAATAGAAATCAAACTTTCCTTGAAAACTATGACTCTCAAACTTTTTGGATAAGCATGTAAGTCGAATTTCTTGACTTCATTGGAAGTCCACTTTTACTTTGAAGAAGCAATAAATGATCCCTCCAAGTTGTTAATGGGAATTCAAAAGGAAAAGGTTTAATCATATACATTTTAGTCCAAGACTCGTGTACATTATTCTCCATCATTATCCAGATGTCCATGGTATGCTGAGTGAGATCATTATTGCTATTTGGAGGGGGATAACAAATCAAGGTTAGCAACTCATTCAAGACTGTGAGGCTATAACACTTACCATCAAAGACATTACAAGCATCAGGCATATTCATATTGTGAAAAATCTCAGTACTAATATCAAAGCATAGAATTACATATATTCGATCTGTTTTTGCATACCAATGAAATGTTCCATGATGAAGTATCTCGAAAGATGGATTACTAAACACACTAGGCAATTGTTGATCCATATCAGGATTCACATCTCTCCATGAATCAATGCACAAATCATAAACCTCTACTTTTTTCTCCTGCTTCTCAGGACCCCAATAAGCATCCAAAAATACTTCCGAAATCCTTACAAATTTGTAATCATTTCCAATCGAATCAAAACCAAATCCAATGCCACCTTTAAAGCTACGATGAAAACCCTTTTCACAAACGAAAGGGCTAGGTGGGAGTGACATATAGTTTCTAGTAGCTGGATTAAATAAGACAATAACATCATTATCCGTCAAAACAATCAAACCATTGCAAGGGCCAACGAGTTCATTAAAACGACGAGTGAAGTTTAGATATGGAAGATCAAGATCTAGTAAAACTAGATCATTGTGATCATTGCTAGAATTAATAGACAAGACATTTTTAAATCCTTCAGTTTCTTTGAAGGAACGACTAAATATAATGAATTCATTGTTTGTAGTTGTAGTGTCATTGATATGAATATTTTTAAATCTTGAGGATTGTATAACAGTATACCAACTTTTGGAGTTGAATTTAAATCTTAGAAGAGATTTCACTGAAAATCTCAAAAGTATATAAATTATCACATCCTCAGGTAATATTTTCATAATTTCATTCGACATAGTTGGTTCTCTACAATGAAAAACGAATGATGTTTTCACCTCTTCTTAAAGTATAACACACCAGTAATATCTCTTTTGAATTGGACGCTAAACCTTATATCCCGCATAGTCAGTTATCACACTTGCAAATTATCCGCCAAATAATATTCATTTTCTCCTTCATCTTTAATTGAAAAAGTATGAAAACTTATTTTTTAGATTTAAAATTATTCAATCATCATCATATATTATTAAAAGTAGAAATGTAAAGTCGAATTATCATTTTACCCCCTTACACTAAATAAAAAACTTTTAAAACATTTTATTAATCAAATATTATGTTATACTAATATATATGAAATACTGAAAGTGGGAATTTTGAACTTAAAAAATGAAAGACGAAATTGTCTATGAAAAGTTGTTAGACATTTTTACCCTTTTAAAAACTCATATGGAAAGGCCCTAAATTGAAAAGTTCAATTGCCGAAATATTTATTAAATATTGAACGACCATTTGATCCTTCACTTAAATATTACTCCTATTAATAATTTTGTACAAAAATATATATTAAAAAAGTAATAATTTTATATAAAAATAAATAAATAGAAGTTGTGAATTTTATTCTCTAATAGATGATAATTTATGGTGCATTGAACTATATTAATGGAGAGAATTGTTCACCTTCCAATAATTATTACAAGCTTCAGTAGTTATGCACTAAATGATACCTCATCCTAAAAATAATTTTACACGTTTCAATTCCTGAAATAATTTGTAAGTTCACAAAAATAAACCCCTCAAATTCTTGGCTGCGTTAGTATATCATTATATACAGTATATGTATGATTAAATGTTTAAAGGCTCCCTTTTTAATTTTATTATAATGAATGTTAATAATACCTATAATAAATGTTAAGGAAGAATCCTGCGTCAAAAGTTATTTACTAAAATATGATTTATAATTTTTTTCCCAATTATATCCTTGAGCAAAAAAAAAAGACCTTAAATAAATGATTACTTATAATGAGGTGAATGTAGACAATTATTTCATACATTTGATTTGCTATATGATTTGTAACTTCAATCATGTTATGATTCGACCTTTCATCATTTGTTCATCATCTTCCATTGTTATAAAATATTTTCCATCCATTTTTAAGTTTAAATTCCTTCTTTAATATTCAAGCCTAATGTTTGTTTGTTTGATCTTCAGCGGTTATAATACTTTTGTTTTGCTATCTTTTGACGTTCTACATTATTTTATTACATATAAAGGTGTACATTAAAATATCAGACTATGCAATCATTTTTCTTTGCTTGTCGTACATTAAAATATCAGACTATGTAATCATTTTTCTTTGCTTGTCTTACTTGCCTACTAGAAATTGAACATATGGCAACACTTTTTCTTGCAACGGTTATACAACCATTGCAATAGATAGTCAATGGCAACGGTTCCGCCCGTTGCATAAGATTATTGGATCTGTTAGAACACTTATCTAATTGAACTATTGCGGTAGGAGAAGAACTGTTGCGGTAGATATAACTATTACAACACTTACAATATTCGTTGCTATAGTTGTCTCTATAGTAACAGTTAATTAATAAAAATATGTATGGCAACGCTTTTTATTTGGCTCCTTATTTTCCCACCTTATAATTTGGGCTTTTATATCTTCTGTATTCCATTTATCTTTCCCTTCTTTTTCATTTACCCAACCAGTAGCAAAGAACTTGTATCAAAATTTTTGCTCTTATTCTCGCCGTCTTCATCGATGACATAGATAAGTATCTACTGAATCTATAAGTACTATATAGATACAATGTTATTTATATTACACCTGCAAGTGTAAATTTGGTTCTTTATTTTTCTTACGGTTTGTTTTTGTAGAGATTTTTTCTTTATTTAATCCTTATTTTCTTTAAAATGCAACTCATGGAACCCAGTTGATAACTCCTTCGATTTGGTGTTCAGAGGCCTGATCGCTGACCTAAATTAGCCTGTAAGTTCAAATTAATGAAGCAGGGGAAGAGCGAATCTGGTTCCTCAATGGGCCACACTAGCAGTCTCGTTTTGGAGTCACTGTGCTTAGACTAAGTACCAAGTTTCATCAAAATAAGAGAAATTTCGCCAAAGCAACTATTTATGAAGAAAACTGGAGAAATAGAGAGTGAAGCGATTTTCAGTTGACGACTCTTCGTCTAAGGTATTATCTATTTTTCTAATGATTAATTTGTTTCACTAAAGCTTGGTTTGGAAGGTATAAAACTGAGATATTGTGTTTATTGTTTATTATCGAGTTTGTTTATTCTTAATTATATGACATTATTAGTTTTAAACATATACACATTCTTGATTCTTGATAGATATAAGTGGCACATATATTACTGAAGCATTATAAGTAATATCATGAAATTTCTTCCAACCACTCATAAGAGTTCATCCTATTGGTACATGGTCCATAAACCTTTATCTTATATAAAAAAAAAAAAGTTCATCCACTATGGTAAATGAGAGGGAAAAATGTTTCAAGTAAACCACACATGTTTGTTTCACTTGCTACATTGAGATTTTAGATAAAATGTCATTTGATGTGAGCCATTGAAGTCCTATAATCCCTTTAGAATCAATAATTCACTCTTTCAATACAAATCCAACAATGTTTAGAACTTTTTGTGTGGTTTAGTTTGTCATTAACAAATTTTTAAGCAAAATCGAGTATTTTTTTTTTGTTGTCGAGAAATGAATTCAAGAGTGCATGTCTTTATGTTCCAAATTTTTCTGTGCCTGAAGTATTATAAGTGCATTTTTGTCGAGGAAGAACTAGTACTGATTATTGATTTGATTATTTGTTATGATCCCTAAAAATCCTTGCTTTTTTGAAAGTAAAATGTTTTAAACCACACACCATTGTGATGATAAGTATAGTAAGCTTCTAATAGCAGTTTCGTAGAAAATTTGTTTTTTCTTGAAGTGATTTTGTAACAGAAGAATGTGCTTGGTAGAATTAGAGATGAAGTCAAGAATATGGAGTCAAAGGTCATTGGAAGAGGCTAAGGATCCCGTAACTAGGCTGGTAAATCAGTACAATTCTTTTACTCTGAAGGTTACTTTAGCTTCTCTTACTATTTTTTGGTCTTGATATTGTATTTTCATTTCTTAGTATGTATATGGTTCAGTATTCAGTAGTGTAGTAATTGCATATGGTTCAGTATTCAATGGTGTAGAAAGTAATTATTATGGTACTATCAAGATTTCAACCTTATTTTCAACAACTTAGTTTATAGAGTTGAAATTAGGACTTCATTGAATCTGTTGTATTCGATGAATGACACTAAATTTTTTTGGCGAGTTTCAATTGTTCATCGAATCAAAGATAACCCTTTTAATTTATCTGATTTCTCTTGTCGTTTTCAAGATATTGTTATAGTTAGATAGGAATTTAGAAGTAATTACCTTGAATGTTTTACAAGTAGTATTGTTTTGTATTAACATAAATGTTATTCTAAAATTTGTTATATGTTGGATGCTTGAACCTCATAGCCTGATCTTGTGTCCAGCAGCATTGGTGCAGAATGGCAGATAACAACCAACTTTTCCATTGCTAGCATCACCTACAGGTTTGTTATCAACTACTAGTAAGATTTGGCAAAAATGCTTTCATTTATTAGATGATACCTTCTGAAGAGCAGTGCTGGCCTTAATAGAAATACTTGAAAATTGGTTGTCAAGTGGATAATACATGAATTTAATTAGCAAACTAGATATTCTGATGTAGCCCATTGTCTTTGTTAACATTCTGGATTGTCTTATAGCCAACCACTACAAAAATTCGTAAAAGCTATTTTGGCTTAAACACTTAAATTGAGCAAATCCAAAACGAGCTCTATGTCATGTGTTACATTAAAGAGATAATTAAATTATGAGTAGCATTTTTCTTCCTCTCTCCAAAATAATTATTAATAAACAAATCCTTGTTGTTGTCACACTATGTTGCAGTTGATTTATTCTTCTGTTAAATTTAATTCTTAATCAATCCTGCATTCGGGTGATTTGCATATATCTTATTTCTTTTTGTATAACTTTTAAGAGTCGTGTTATCATCCTACCGACTTCATTTTGATAGTAATTCTATACTCCCCTCAGTATAAATAATATTCATGAGTTTTTCTTATCTAGTTAGATTTTTAGAATAGGACTAGGAATTAGGATGCGAAATTAATGAAACTTTAACTTAAGATGATATCAGTGGACTTACTGGTTGTGTTGTCTCCAAATTGGAGTAAGGGTGAACTAGATTGAATTTGTTGGCATATTTTCCATGTCAATTTGCAGGTTGCTGATGCAGAGCTAATAACAAGTTATCTGCAAACAATTCTTGTACTCCCATGTAAAATAAAAATGATTCTTGCGATAAAAGGTCAGTGTTCAAAATTCTCTGTATGCCAATTTCTTTTATGCTTCTTGTTTTAATGTGAAAATCTTGTTAATTCAAGAGAATGTGAGATTGTACAGATGTTATGTGTATCTGCTTTACTACTTCATTTCCTCTGCATTTTTGTTTTGCAATCTGAAGTGCTAAATACAATCTTAACAAAGCTAGTAGTTGTTTTGAAAGCAAATAACTAAGAAAGCTACATAAAGTTTTTAGACATGTCTGTATGAATATTTTTTAAAATAGCGTACTTGTTGCTTTTATTTATCAATTCTTAAACTTCTCGAAGCACGGTGGAGGCTAATGTATAATGTTAAACCTTTGGATGATGAAGTTTCGGTGAAGTCCCTCGGAGGATTACTCTTTCATAGTGATAATAGTTTCAATTGTTTTAAGCTAACGTCAGTGACTAGGCTTAAGACAAGGCCAGTGGCTATGCATTTTCTAAAACTCTTTTTAGTAAATCTCTTTTTTTTCACTCACTATGTAATACTATATTATGGAGAAGATTTGAATAATATCGTGCTTACTTAATCACCTATATATTTATGTATTGATCGGTCATTATCAAAAAAAATTTATGT